GCAGAGTCCATGCCCTTAGTCACTGAACTCGAAGTGCAAGAGGCGGTCTGTCATTTGGGGGAATGTGAGTAGATTTCGCTTCAAGGGTGAGTCCAATTTTAATAGACACAGAGATCATGACCACTTGCTGTGGGAGTGCCTAAATTATGCCCAGGTACCTAACATGTGGTAAAATCTGGTCACCAAAGGGGAGCCCTTGCAGGCCCAAATATTTATCTAGGTAGTTTCTCACAAAAAAATTTTTTTTAAGATTTCATTTATATGAGATAGAATGAGAGAGAGAGAGAGAGAGAGAGAGTGTGTGTGTGTGTGTGTATACAAGCAGGGGGAGAGGGAAAAAGCAGGATCCCCACTGAGCAGGGAGCCTCAGGTGGGGCTTGATCCCAGGACCCTGAAATCATGACCTGAGCCAAAGGCAGACACTTAACCTACTGAGCCACCCAGGTGCCCCAGCTTTTCACAGTTCTTATTCATTCCTTCTGGTTGAGGCAGGAGGGTTTCTCCGTCATGAATACCTTGTGTGAATGTTCCAACAGGACAGGCAGCTCAACACTGTCCCCAGAGGAAGGTACAGGACAGAGAAGAGGACAGAGAGCCCAGGGGACTGCCCAGCACAGCCATCCTGGGAGGGAGTTGTAGGTTGGGGGTGGGGGGAGGTCACAGGTTCTATGCCTCCATAGTGTCTGTATAAGCTAATGGAGCCCGGGAGAAATGTCATATTTGCATTACCAACCCAATTATGGGCCATTATCTCCTCTACTGTTGTCGTGGGCCTTTGTTAGGATCCTGCTTCTAAAAGGTAACAAGGCACAGAGGGAGTTAGAAAACCTAAGAATTCATGGGGCACCTGGGTGGCTCAGTGGGTTAAGCGTCTGCCTTCAGCTCTGGTCATGATCCCAGGGTCCTGGGATGGAGCCCCACTTTGGGGTCCCTGCTCAGTGGGAGTCTGCTTCTCCCTCTTCTGCTGCCCCTCCCCTCGCTTGTGCTCTCTCTCACTCACTCTCTACCTCAAATAAATAAAATCTTAAAAAAAAAAAAAAAAGAAGAAGATGGGGCACCTGGGTGGCTCAGTTGCTTGGTGTCTGCCTTCGGCTCAGGTCGTGATCCCAGGGTCCTGGGATCGAACCCCACATCGAGTTCCGTGCCAGGCGGAAAGATTGCTTCTCCCTCTCTCACTGCCCCTGCTTCTGTTCCCTCTCTCGCTGTGTCTCTCTCTGTCAAATAAATTAAATAAATTAAATCTTAAAAAAAAAAAACAAAACAAAGAAAGAAAAGAAAACCTAGAATTCAAAGGTGAACATCCAGGATGCAGCCCCCAGACCGCTGGGGGGAGAGAGTAGCACGTGGGGCTGGACATGCTAGCTCCTGCCGGTTCCGTCTTTAGTCACTCCTTCATTCCTTCTAGCTGAGCAGTGAGGCTCCTTTGGAAAGTTTCTGGCACCCTTGATCCTGTTAGACTAGGGGAGGGAGTCCTGATTCTACAACCAGCTATGGTCTGTGAGTGGACATCTATAGAGATTCTGCCCAGAAAGGGCCAGGGAATCAAAACAAGAAAACTTCAAGGAGAAGTAAACTTTGGAGGGAGTTGCTGAGAGCCCATCTACAAATTACAGAGCATCGTGGTTAAAAATTTGGACTCTGGAGCACAGAGTGCCTGGGTTCGAATTCTGCCTTTATTACTTTCTAGCTTGTAACCTTAGACTACTAAGGGGCATCTTCACGCCTTAGATCCCTGTCGGCTAAAACAGTCATCCTCAGCCCGTTGGAAGGACTCAATGAACGAATTCTTGTAAAAGGTGGTCGACAAATGCGTGGCACATAATAACCACTCAGTGGCCATTAGCTCTCCTGTGCATGTCCTCCTGTGGTAGCTCTGGTCTGCTCCAGGCAGGGGGCACTGAAAATTACCCCAGCTTCCCACTCTCAGCTGCTCCTAATGGAGAGGCTAGTCTATCAATAGGGTAAGAAGCCCCAGCTCCTCCTTGAGAAAGAGGACTGGATCAGCATTGCAGCTGGGGGCAGAGAGAGGTTGGCTAAGCAGCTAGAACCTAGGAAAGGCAAACTTCTTTTGAGAGAGGCAAAGCGGACCTGAGCCCCCAGATAATTAAGGGAATAATGATGGTTTAGTAGAGCCAGGTGGGTTACTCTTCTGCCCTATATGGGACTAAACTTTTCGTAAGCCCCCTCTCTCTTGCTTCAATAGGACCATTTCAGCCTCCTCTCTATTATCATGGCACCTTATCCCTACTCGATTAAAGAGCTTATCACATGATCAGGGAGTATTTAATTGGCCAAACTCCCTAGCCAGATTTCTTGAGATTGGGACTAAGTATGAGTTCTCCTTCAGAGGCAAACAAACTTCCAAAAAAACAAAAAAAAAGGACGTTCCTGTGGGCCACTCATCTTTCCCACCCGGTGCCTCTGAGGACAGATAAGCCAGGGAGCTTCCTGTAGGAAAAGCTTTGAGTGGCTCAGAGAAAAAAGCCCTTGAAAAGCAAATGAAAGGTAAATCCACCTGGCTCTTCACTGTTCGTGACTCAGTTTCCTCACCCACATTCGTAAAATGGAAAAGTAACTCCCGCTGCAATCATTTCTCTAGGCGGGTAGAGAAGCCAAACGTGATGACATACAGGACAGGACAGCGTTTTATTCTTTTTTTTTTTTTAAGATTTTTATTTATTTATTTGACAGAGAGAGAGAGAGAGCTCCCACAAGCGCGTGCAAGCGCAGCACAAGCAGGGGGAGGGGAAGAGGGAGAAGGAGAAGTAGGCTCTCCACTGAGCAGGGAGCCCTTGCAGAGCCCAACGTGGGGCTCAACCCCAAGACCCTGAGACCATGACCCAAGCTGAAGGCAGACACTTAACCAACTGAGCCACCCAGGGGCACCAGGACAACGTTTTATAAATGTCTCCAGGCAACACCTCCTTCCCACCCCTGGGGAAGTTTTGTCTCGTTAAATGTCCTTTGGCCTCTGTACAGCTCACAGAGTGCGTGTCTCAGGGCAATTCCTTTCCAGACTTTTGAGTGTCTTCATTTAGCAAAAAGAATTGACAGAAAAAGCTGCGTGACCTAGGCCAGAGGCCTCTCCTCCTCCTCTCTGAGAAGTTTCCCTTGTCCAGGAGCAGGAGAGTTGAATGACAGACCCTGCCTGTAGCCGTGCCTCCATCTCGACCCTTCCAAAGGAATGCAGTCTCAGCCTGCCTGCCGCCTACAGAGGGCTCCTGCTGGGGAGTCCATTCCCCTTCTCTCTTACTCCATTTGCAATCACTATTTATTTATCTTTGGAAGTTGCAGGAACCAGAGCCTGCAGCCTGGAGAGACTGGTGGAGCCAGAGAGGGAAAATGAAGAAGCCAGTGTCTGCGCCCAGTGTCTGCCTCTGACAGGGAGAGAAGGCGCTGCAAAGGGAGGTGGGAGATTGGACCAAAAGGCCATGGTGCTGGAAAAGGTGCCACACACACTGGCAGGGCCAAGACCACAGAAAGGAGGTGGCAGTTAGTGACCTTCTTTGGCAATACAGTGTACCATGAGGAATAGGAGTTCTGCCCAGGGATCCTCCAACCCAGGCAGCCTGTCCCTCAGCAGCAAAGGGTCTATTAAGGTCAGAAAAGGCAGAGTTTGTGGGGAAACTGAGGAAGCAGACATACTAGGTCACACTGCTTTCTCCCTCTGTCCCCAGCCCCATTCCCAGCTTGCATCACAGTCCATCTAGGATCCTCGGGCAACTTTCATTCCCATGACCCTTTGCCAAGGTCAGATACTTCCCAAAGCCACCATCCCTCTGCTTCTGGAAACTGAGTGCCCCCTATCTTCCACTCACTCATCCAACTACCACAACTGACATTCATAAATTAGGCACGCAGAGCCCCATGTTGACCCGAGAGATTAGATACTCCAAGACATTAGAGGCTGTATCCAACGTCAAATAGAGCCATCTAGAATGAAGCCCTCCTGACTCACAGGCAGTGCTCTTTCCACAGCCTGGCCTAGATCCCCGCTTTTCTTCCCATTTCCCTCATTCCTACTGCTTCCTAAACACACACACACACACACACACAGAGATATGGAAAAGGTAGGAGGCCAGATCTAGCCTGTTGCCTTGGCCTTTGACCCCTCCGTGGCCCAGGGACATGCACCCCCCGCTGGGCGAGGTCACTGGCAGCAGACGAGGGTCTGCGCCTTCCTAAGTCTCTGGTTTGTATCCTGCAGTGGCTGGAGCAGGGCTGTGGGAGGGAGAGCAAGCTTACAGAGGGGCCCATCAGGTCAGGGGCCAAGGGAAGCCGAGTGTCAGCAACGCCAGGGCGGTGAACAAAGTTCAATCCTAACCCCAGACAGGGTGCACCAGCCATCTCTGGCCAAACCCGCAGGTCAATGAAGGACCCAGAACATAGGGGTGCGGGCTGGATGAGCAAGAGCGAGGGAGAGTTTTGTGGAAAGCGGTGGTGGTTGGCTTTGAGGGATGAGATGGGTTGTGGAAAGGTAGAGTCCCGGCCCGGGGAAGGGGGGAGGCGCGGAAGGGAGAAGGAGTCTAGGCTCAGGGCGAGTTCGGGGACGCGCGGGGCCTTAAGCCTCCTGGCCGGCTCTCGCTCGAGGGAGGGCAGCTGCCTGGCTGCGTAGCGGAAGGCGCTAGGGCCTCGCGGACGGGCGAGCTGGCTAGGGGAGGGCGCCCTCTCGGGAGGGCGGGTGGGGGCTGGCGGCGGCGGGAGCGGCGCCGCGCCGAGCTGCCTCCATCCATGGCCCGGAGCGGCGGCGGCGGCAGGAGCAGGAGCCCGGCGCGATCCGCTAGGTTCCACATCAGCGCGGAGCGAGCAGGCGACGCGGAGGGGCCCGGCCTCGGGCGGCCCGGGATCACAGCGCAGAGACTTGGGCCGCGCCGCCGGGGGCCGCCCGCGCCGCGCTGACAGCCGCGCCCGCGTCCTCCCCGCCGGGGCGCTCGCCGGACATGCCCCCGGGGCGCGGCGGCTGGGACCCCGGGGCTTGCCTCCGCCCAGGGCCCCCCGCCCCGCCCTCGGACGCCCCGGGCCCCCTCTGAGCACGCCTCCCGCAAGCCCAGGTCCCTCTGGCCGGCGCACAGACGGGCCCCAGAGCTGTGGGTCCCTGCGGGGCGATGGGCTGATGGGCGCCGCGGGACGCAGGATGCGGGGGGCGCCAGCGCGCCTGCTGCTGCCGCTGCTGCCGTGGCTTCTGCTCCTGGCGCCCGAGACCCGGGGTGCGCCCGGCTGCCCCGTCCCCATTCGCAGCTGCAAATGCTCGGGGGAGCGGCCCAAGGGGCTGAGCGGCGGCGCCCCCAACCCGGCGCGCAGGAGAGTGGTGTGCGGCGGCGGGGACCTCCCGGAGCCTCCCGAGCCCAGCCTTCTGCCTAACGGCACCGTCACCCTGTGAGTACCCCCACTCGGCCGGCGGGCCCGAGCCCCGACGAGGGGGCGAACGGAGACAGGACGGGAGGGGCGAGAGGAAAGGGACCGGGACGTTGCCGCCACTTCAGAGACTCGGGGACAGGCCTGAGTCCAGGCGCCGAGAAGGGAGGCTTGGAGCAGTGCAGGGAGCATTAGGGCTCCAGGAGTGTGGAGGGAGGAGGGGGCTTCGGGGGCCGGCTGCGCGCGAAAGAGAGGCACAGCGGGCGCCCACTCACCTGCACAGGTGAAGGGAATGCGCGCCGGCAGGACGCCCACGCCCCTTTGACTTTCCAGCCTGCGCTAGTGTTGCAGACTTCGGGGACCTGAGTGGGTGGGCTGGGGGAAGATCGACGCCCGCGGCCTCAAAGGTGGCTGCGGTCGTTACCTCCGCGGACGCGTCCTTGGCTGGACTGGAGGAGTCTCCCGGGTTCACCCCGCGGGCTTGGCTCCTCCCGGGGCGGGGGAGGGCACCCTATCCGCACCCCCTCCCCGAGCCTGCCAGCCCCACTTCCAGCCGGTCTCCACAGGGCGGGTGCGGGCGGGGGTTGTCGGAAAATCTGTCTTTGGGATTGCGGCGCTTCTGGCCTGAATGAGACCCCGGCGTCACGGTTCGACTCGGGCCCCTCTCCCTCCGCTCGCATCTGTGAAGTGAGCTGTACGCCCGGTCCCGCACCCCGCCCTCTTCTTTGCCTCCTCTGGGTATAACACCAGCTTTGGCTGTTAATCGATTGACTTCTTCGCTCCCAAGACTGCGAAGAAAGAAACCCGGCTGAGGGGGAGGCAGCTGCCTCCCGAACTCCTTCCGTCATCCCGTTTCCTTTCTCAGCCAGGGCCCGTACTGAGCCCTCACTCGGCCGCCTGCGAGCGCGGCCCCGTGGCGCCGCACCCCGACCCCACCCCAAGCCTCCCCGATGGAGGGCTGAAGCCCCCGCCACCGCAGGACACTCCGCGACTCCAGCCCGCCGCGGCGATTTCCTGCTCTGACCACGTGCTCCCAGCTCCACGCACGCCGCGGAGTGGAGGGTCCGGCCCGAGCGGCCCCTGCCTTTCCTGTCCCGGACCCAACCTGCGAGCGCTTCCCCTTTCCTGTCTTCCTGAACCCGGTGGCAAGCGTTTCCCCCACCGCCCCTTGCCCAGACTTGGGGCTGGCTCACAGTCTATCCTGATTGTGTCCAGAACAATACAGTCATGCCTCTGGTTGGGTGAGTTCAGAGGCTGCCGGCTTCCTGACAGGACACGACTGGTCAGCCTCTGACGTTGGCGGCTTGGCCTGCATTTTCCCCAGCTGGGGTGTGTGTGTGTGTGTGTGTGTGCGCGCGCGTGTGTGTGCAGGCACGCTGAGTGTATGTGTGTGCATTAGGGGGGTGGAGGCAATGTGTCTGCTCTCTCCCACGTCCCAGCACCAACTCTGGGATATGGCGGTGGCCTGGGAAGGCAGCTAGGGCTGCTCAGTCCTGGTCTCTTTGATTGTCCACTGGTTTTGAAGGGTCCAGACAGGCCCGTGCATTCCCCAGCCCACTCAGATCTGGAGGATAAATATGCTTGCTGTGTGGAATGGTTGGGCCGGTGTCTCTCTGAGCCCCTGCTGGGCCATGATAACTCGGTTCAAGAGAGGGGTGTGTGTGTGTGTGTCTACTCAATCTTGTGGTTGTATTCACACACATATGTGGGACACCATCTCTCTGTGTGTCTGCTTGTTGGGATTAAGGAATCCACACATACTGAAAGCAGAAAAGAGGGGGAAAACATTAAAAGGTGGTTTTGCAGTACATCTTAGAATGATTTGGTAACTAATGCTTTCCAGCCATAGCTAATTCCCATCGACGCCACTCCAAGGAGTGAGCACAGCCAGCCCTTGGTGAGAATATACTGTGACAGGGTGTCAGCAAACACGAATGCTAGATCACCTTCCCAACCCAAACTGCTCCCAGAGGAAGGGCCCCTTCTTTGTCCCAGGCCACTCACCTAGCTGACTTAAGATACCTTACAAAGGAACAGCCAACACTGCCCCCCACGCCCCTGCAGCCTAGCTGGGCATCCCGACAGCAATGATAGGATAGGGAGGGCCCTAGAAGCTTCGGAGAGCCCGCTGGGCCCTCAGCCTGGAGTATGGCTGAATCCTAGCCACAGACATATTTCTTGGGCTCCCTCCAGGCTCCACCTAAACCTGACCCTGATTGCTGGGCCCAGGTTCTCTCTCCAGGGCTCAGCCCCTCCAGCATACCCATCCTTACCCAGCATGCCTCTTGAGGGAAGAAGGAAGAGACGTGCTGGGAAGGGACTTCAGCCTGGCAGCAAAACAGGAGGCCAGGAGTTCCAGAACCTTCTCCACACCTTCCCAGACTCCTCCTCCTTACTCTTTGTGTTTCTACACAGATTTCCCCTGCCATCTTTTTGTCTGTCACCTGGTGGAAACAACAGGACTATCACAGATCAGTTTTTGCACCCCTGGCTTTATCTCCTTCCTCCTCCCCTCTTTGCCTCCCGAATGGGTCACCCAGTCCCAGTCCCCTTCACACCCCACCCTGCTCACTTGGGTCCTCAGGGGACCCAGGACTCCACCTTGGAAAGCCTGGTAGGCACCAGTGCTGGGACTCTTCAGGCCAAGAAAGTGCTAGAAAAGGTGCCTGTCTGCAAGGAGCCTCCTGTCTCTGCTCAGAGAAAAAGCTTCCAGGCAGTTCTGGAGCAATTCTGTGACTAGTCCTGTTTACTGCACTGAAAACCCTTCCACCCTATTATCCTAACTTCTGCCTTCTGTTTTTGTAGACTTTGTGCCCCCTCTCCCCACCCTTTGCTTTTTCCCCTTCTAATGGATTTTCATTCGCAGTTTTCCAGGAAAGCAGAACTCTTGGCTCCCTTCCTGATCCATCTGTCCCACCCCTCAGCTCGGTCTGCAGGGTGACTGTGGACACTGATGCTCCTGTCCAGAGCAGGGGCCTTTCTGACTCTCCCCCAGGGGTAAAGGTCTCATGGGAGATGGTGAATTTCGGGAGATCCTGGGTATGGGAGGGAGATGAAGACCCCTGTGAACCCCCCACCCATTCCTGGACAGCAGCTGATGGGGCTCCCCTTCTGCTTCTCTGCTCCAGGAGTGAGAGGAAGAGGGAGGGGGATAATAAGGAATTCTAGGAAAGGACTGATAATAGGTAACTCCAAAAGAAAATCTCCTACAATGACCTTCTGGGACATCCGAGCAGCCCCTCAGAGGATCCCAGCCAGGGTCATAAATTCCTAGACCAGCTGCACTGAAAAGGCCCTTACAGATCAGCAAATCCAGCCTCTTGGTCTTAGGGCTGAGCAAACTGAGGCCAGGAGGGGAGGGCCTGGTGTCCTGACCCTAGATGACTCCAGGAGCAGCTGGCTGGGTTCTCTTACACTTCTCTTGGGTGAGGGACTTGCTGTTCACCTGGCTGGACTTGGGACCCAAGGGACACAAAGCCACTTTTTAAAAAACCCAGTTCCTTCCCAGCAGAACCAAGGCCCTTTTGACCTGGGAACATTCCCAGGCTGGGTGGGGAGGAGGCAGGCAAGGTACAGGTCGTTCTGGATTCTCCCAGAACCCACAAACCTTTGTCCGCTTCACCTCCTCTTTCTGGGGCAGGGGCTGCCCACCACATCAGCAGCCCACACAGGGGAGAAGGGGCGTTTGCCATTCAGATGCAGCTAGTGGTGGCCAGATCCTTTCGCTGGGGTTTGAGGGTCTCTAGAGACAGCATGGGGTGAAGGCGAGGCCTTTTCACAGCCCTTGTGCTTGCTCCAGCCTGAGGAAACTGGTTCTTGAACACAGATCTCCCTCTGGACTGGCCCCTCCCCTCAGTGCCCCTCACCCCAGCTGCCAGGATCCAGTTAGGGGAGTTGGGGCAAAGTGTGCCAACTGCCTTGCACATAGCCTGAGGGGAGTGGAAAGATGCTGGCTGGAGGGGCGTGTCCTTGCCAGCTTCCCCACCCCCTTCTCTTCCACCCTCTTTCCCCCATATGGTTCTCATAAGGTCTGGGCTCAGAGACAGCAGCCAGAGGAAGTGGCTGTGTACAGAGAGCTTTTGTGCCGGAGAGGAGGGGGAGGGGAAGAGAGCAGAGCGAAAGAAGGAATGAAAAGAGGGAAGAGGCTGGGGACGGAAGGTGGGAGGCAGCTGGGAGACTCCGGCATACCACATTACCCTCCTGAGGCAGGGGCTCAGCTGCAGCATGCCCAGTGGGGACTCCTCACCCCGCCTGCCTGAACGAGGAGCCCAGAAAAAATCCACGTTCCCCTCGGACTTCGCAACTATGTTCAGGAGAAGCTGGCAGCAGCCAGCCCCTTCCTGGAGCTCCTGGGGACCCTTTAGGCTCCCTCATGTGCAGGATGTCAGGGTCCGTGGTCCCATCTCAGGGCAAGCCCTGGGCAGAGACCAGAGCCCTCTGGGGTTTACTGGTTGAGTCTCATTGCGCCAAAGAGACTGGAGAGGCCACCACACTGAACTCCAAAGACAACCCCTGTAATTCAGCATCCCAGTGGTTCCAGGACCCAGAATGGGTAATTTGGCCTGAATTATTCAGAACATGTGCATGAACCCAGCCACTTCTGATCCCCAAGGAGGTCCCTTCCCACGGACTCCCACCAACTATCCCATGGATTACCTTCCTTGGTGGGGGGAGGGGATGGTGGGTAATCCCTAGCCCTGGGGGGGGTGAGTCTGAGAATTTCCCCCAAAGGCACAGGCAAACCAGTGTAATTTGAACCTAACCATAAATTGACCCTTAAATTGGGGGTCATGTTTTTAAAGGGAGAGAGTTTCCAAGCTTATGCCACAGGAGAAATCATTGGGATAAGAATGCTTTCCTGAAGGAGAAGTTCCAACCACCTCCGAGTGGCTCCATGTCCTTCCATCCAGTGGGCTCTCCTCACCAGATCCCAGAGAGGGGAGATGAGTTCCCCAGTGCCACACAGCCTGGACCAGTACTCCTCACTCCTTTGTGACCCTGAGATAGAGATCCCTGCTCCC